ATTAAGCGCTTGTCAAACCAGTCGAATAATTGTTTTTGTTTTGTTATTAATTTTATTATTTACCAAATATCGGCATTAATAAAATACACATTATACTGTATTTTGGACTTGAAAAACAATTTTCTTCTAAGTACGAGCTGATGTACAAAGATCAAAATTATTTTTTTATATTTTATTTAGTTCTGTTTTTACAAACGGGCAATTAGTATTTGTCCGTTTAGGGTCCATATTTCGAAGCAATCGAGATTTCAACATCTTGTCTCAATACGAACGGTGATATTTCTCATGAACAGTCTCTATACAGTAGAATACTTATAAAATTTATTCGACAAAATTCTTTATAAGACTAGAAATTAGAATAAGAGATTTGATTACGTAATTTCATTCGCAAAACAACAAATCATTTTTTTTTTAATTGTTTATATGGGTGGACGAGCACACAGCCCACCTGGTGTTAAGTGGTTACTGGAGCCCATAGACATCTACAACGTAAATTTGCCACCCACCTTGAGACATAAGTTCTAAGCTCTTAGGAATAGTTACAGCGGCTGCCCCACCCTTCAAACCGAAACGCATTACTGCTTCACAGCAGAAATAAGCAGGGTGGTGGTACCTACCCGCGCGGACTCTCGAGAGGTCCTACCACTAGTGGCCATGTGTTTGAAACAACAATATTGACTGACTAATTCAATGTTTACGTACAATGTTATCTTACTGAGCACCCTGTAGCGACAGACAACCAGATTTAGCCTCATAATATTGACATTTTGTATGATTTATTAACTATAAACACGCACTCCAAGTTGTATTGTTCTAAAATAGATCACGGGTGTGTAATACGGGGTGTAGCTCTGCTATGTGGAGCGATGCTATGGTTCACTGTATCATTGTCTTGTGAAATAAATGTAGATGTGTATATAAATATTTGTAAGGTAGATGGGAAAAGACCTCGGGGGCGCAGCCCAATACGTTGGTCCGACCAGATCCGCACCGCTCTTGATACCACGTTTCACAACGCCCTCCACACCGCCAGAGACAAGAATGGATGGAGAAAGATCGTGCGTGCGAAGGTGATACAAAAGGGTGGTCACGACCCTCAGCAATGAGGAATACGACGCAAGGAGGAGGATATAAATATTTGTATATCTATTTGTGTATGCATATAGGTACTTATATTTACACTTATATAGGTATGTCGTGTGTGTGTATTTGTAATAATTTATATTTCAATGCACCTACCATTATTTAGTATGACCTACCTTTAGTTGACTGATAGAGAATGCCTCAGGAATTAAGTTTGCCAATGTAAGGAAATATTACATGAAGTGTAATAATAATATAAAATAAATGCTTAAATTGAACTTATATCAACAAGTCAAAGAATTTGTGATGTTTATTAAAAAGGCTTGATAAAAAAAAAACGTAATGTTTTTTTTGTTACCCTTGTAAGCAGACGGAACATACGGCCCACCTGATGGTGAGTGGTTACCGTCGCCCATGGACTTCAGCAATGCTAAGGGCAGAGCCAAAGCGCTACCTACCGATACCTGATTTCCATATGTCTGTTAGTAGCATCGCACGATAGCAAGATTAATATCGCTTCGCTTGTGGGACACAACTATAAGGCAACTCGCACACACAGTCACCGCCTTTAGCTCACCCGTTCCGGATACGATATCCGGTTCAACTTTTTTTTTCTTCACCTGTACTGAGACGTTAACATCGCTGTTCTTATTCCACCAATAGCCACGCGTGGGTGCAAACGTATCTTACGTCCTTGTCTCGTCGAGACCAAACGAAAAGGACGGAGAAACCATAAAGCACTGAAGTACAGCGTGTTCCTTTGTTTTTCTTTTTTAATGCATTTTGAATGTTTGCCGCGGTTGTATTAGGATGTAGTAAAAAGATTTCGTGATAAGAACCGTGATAGAATTAACATATACTATTTATTAGTGATAGTAAAAGTTTATTGTTTTTAGTGCGGTAATGGAGTTACAAATCACGTTAACAACTTAGGTATTTTGTGTTGGTGTCAATGGAAAATCAAGTGTGTAGACGCTTAAAATACCTGATCGCGTTGTGATAATTATAGGTTCTGATAAACACTTCATCCCATATAGACTGTGAGCCTGTTCATCTTACTACGAGCGAAGCACTGCTCTTGCTAGGGCTAGTGTTAGCAATTCTCTCAAGACGAGCACGTGAGCTAACCCACACCCCTTCTTACTGGTGGTAAGACCACTAGTGAGTCTGCGCGGATAGGTACCACCACCCCGGTTATTTCTGCCGTGAAGCAGTAATGCGTGAGGAGGGTGGGGCAGCCGTTGTAACTATACTTGAGACCTTAGAACTTATATCTCAAGGTTGGTGGCTCACTTACGTTATAGATGTATATTGGCTCCAGTAACCACTTAATACCAGGTGGGCTGTGAGCTAGTTCACCCATCCAAGCCATAAAAAAAACCTATCCGCCCGTAGCTGGAATAGTCCTTTAGGTTATCAGAGATTAAGTAGGAGAAAATATACTCATCTTGCACTTTTTTATTATTGCTTGTGGGTGAATGAGCTCACTGCCCGCCTGACGTTAAGTGGTTACCGGAGCCCATAGACATCTACAAGATAAATGCCACCAACTACCTAAGATAGTTCTACGGTCTCAGTTTCCACAGTACATTTATATCGATTATTAATATTGTTTAAACCGTGTTTGTTAAATCCTTAAGAAGGATAAAATTACAATTTTTAAAATATAATATAGAAAAATACTAGATTGCCCCTGGTGGCGGGGTTTAAGGCTCCAGAGTGAGAAACTATTATTATTATATTTTGATATATTATTATATTTTAATTAAATGAATCAATGTGAAGTTAACGAGTTGGCTACTTATCGTTACGAAAGCGTATCGTAAATCCCTTTTCCCGTCAATCTGTCCGGAGCGTGACAGCGAGAATATTGTGACACTTCTAATTATTTTAGTTCTATGCCGTAATGATTTTGAGGTGGCCAGTTTTTAAATCGTAAGCTGTCTTGGTTGATATGATCTAGGAATTTTATAGTTACTTCCATTTTTCTAATTAGCTATCAACTGACTGAGTCTATGTCATTAATCGAGAATTTACTGGTGGTAGGACGTCTTGTGAGTCCGCAGGGGTAGGTACCACCACCCTACCTATTTCTGCCGTGAAGCAGTAATGCATTTCGGTTTGAAGGGTTGGGCAGCTGTTGTAACTTTACTGAGCCCTTAGAACTTATATGTCGAGGTGGGTGGCGGCATTTACGTTATAGATGTCTATGGGCTCTGGTAACCACTTAACACCAGATGGGGTGTGAACTCGTCCACTCATCTAAGCATTTTTTTTTAATTGTTTTAATGGGACACGACTTTTTTATCGCAATAGGCCGGCTACCAGAAGCCATATATCACAATGTGAATAACGGCACTCTCTATGGGGTCAAAGTCGCTGTTATATCGGAGAACTGTCCCATATTTCAAATCCGAAGGCATGGCCACTTCGTGCCAGAAATATTGAGGATCCTGGTAGCTGTCCATGCTCAGACCTCAGTGATATTTTCTTAGGAAATGCACGGTAGTTGAGCATAGTGTTCAAGAAGACTAAAAGAACTCACTAGAGGTGCCTACAAACACAAGTGACGTCACTAATTTCGTTCATAGCCACTTCCCCGCTAAACCTTACCACTTGAACTCGACGATAATACGTTAGGATTAAATCTCGTATAGGTGACAGCTACTCTAATCAACTTTCCCCTGCCGTTGCCGCTTCAGACGTATGTGACGACGGTTTTAACGCCGATTAACTTGTCACACAATGTCGACGCGATCGAGTTAACTAAAGAGATATGCAATCGTAAAAACACAGTTCGGATTTAATTTGACGACAAAGTTGTATTATACGGTTTGCATTTTTAAGCTATTGCATAGCTTTTATCGCGGGCTTTGAGCGTGGCGACCGAATCAAGAAATTCCGTAACGAAAATAAAACCTAACACATCCCACTCCGTCTACTATGTAGCTCGCGTTAACACATTCACACGTTGCGCTTGAAAAACGTTATGCAATAGGTTTAGCGCGACAGTCCCCGAGTGTCACACGTGTTTTTTTTTTAAAGTTATAACAAGTTTTACGCGTGAATCGGTACAGTTTGTACGATTTTAATCATAGTTATTTTAATTTGTTTCAATGTCTCTATTCAAAGTTTTATATTAAAACCTTTAAATTGTGCTACTATTGTGTTATAATATATCTTTTTGTGTAATTCCTGTGGTACCTAGTTGATTATCTACAGCCGCCTAAATCGAAATTTATTTCATCCGGGAGAAGACGCAGAGCTTGTGGAGAATATTTTTTATTTATTAGAAATTTATTTAGGTACAAGCGGACCGCTAAGGCTACTTAGGGGTCTTTAAAAAATTTTCAACGGTAATTGACGTTGTTTTATTTGTTTTAAATAAAATAACACTTAAGAGTAAGGATCCCAAATTTTTTTCAAAAAATATTATAGCCTATATCACTCTGGAATAGTGTAGCCTCCAAACTGAGAAAGAATTTTTCAAATCGGTTCAGTAATTTCGGAGCCTATTCAATACAAACAAACAAACAAATCTTTATTCTTTATAATATTAGTATAGAAGTATAGATAGTATAGACTAGTATAGATGAGACATAAACGATGAAGACATTATCTATACTAATATTATAAAGAGGAAAGATTTGTTTGTTTGTTTGTTTCGAATAGGCTCCGAAACTACTGGACCGATCTGAAAAATTCTTTTTCCATTAGAAGCCGACATTGTCCCTGATGAACATAGGCTACTTTTTTTAATTTTTTTTTATTTATTTTTTTTGTTTCATGTGTGTTTTAATGTTTCCGAAGCGAAGCGAGGGCGGGTCGCTCGTGAATAATAATTATCGAACTTCGGACTCTTGCCCGAATACATGTTTCTAAATGCTTGTGATTTTCGGTAGTTAAGTTTCACTTACTTCCAAACAAGGATGATTCCGATGAGAACACACGCGGCCAGCACGAAGGAACACAGTCCGATCACAGCAGAAGTCTGCAGCGATGACCCGTTGTGGTTATACGCGTCGATCTTCTGTAAACAAATGCAATGTTAAATTAACTAGTGGTCCCCCCTGGTAGTCGAAATTCGACTATAATTAATTGAAATTATAAGTTTGTACATTGTTATGATTCTATTGTCAAATACTATTTTACTTCTATAATCACGGATTTCACCAAGACTACACTTTAGACAAATATTAATAAAGACAAACAATATTAACCTATTGTCAAATTGACCACAGACTTTAAACAATAAGAAAAGTCTGACAATAAACAAACATGCATGCGTGTGTGTGTCAAATACATGGTAGTGTGTGTATTTTTTTTTTTTATTGATTTAATATATTTTTTATGCATAATTTAAGAAGATATTAACATTCTGCACTCCTTCTCTATATTCTCTATAAGTGGGGGAAATTTCATACTCCTCCGTCCGCGCAATTTTCGTAAAAAGGGATACAAAGTTTTTGCTTCACGTATTAATATATAGATAAATAAAAACTAAGCAAAATTATCGGTGGCTTAGCTGTAACGTATTCGTGTTTTTTATTAGTGTTGTAGTGGGACTTTTTGGCTGGAAAACGTCAAGGCTAGTTGTGTAAATATTTTGGCGATTTAATGGATTTATTTTCAGGCTTCATTGCCTAATGTAGACTTATTAGGCACTTGAGAGCTGTGAAAGGATACGAGTGTGGAAAAATGAGAGATAATCTCAGAACGTCACTCCTCGCGTTTACCCAAAAACTCCTGTGAAGGCACAGTAAATTAGTAGATTTAAAAAAAATGCAGTTTTTCTCTTGTTTATGTAACATTATGTATTCATATGAATGTATATGTGAGTATGCTTACATTTATAATATTATATTAAATAAATATATGTAGTCTTATTTTAATGAATTTAAATGCTCCAACATAAAATATATGTACCGCCAATCATGAATTTGGGTTGACTGGTATATAATCCTTTACAGCGTTACGTTTGCCGATATACGTATCATTTGTTATTGCAAGTTTAATACACAGGTGTGGTCCCATCGATCGACATGAGTACCTACACCAGGCGTCCTTATCCTTTAAGGCTTCGTAAAACAGAACGCGTAATTAACGCTGCGTTTTAACGTCGCGTTCTTTACATGTCACACAAATTGACTAGGTGAGTGAGATGGGGAGTGCTCTGACGAATTGTTCGAGATGATACCGGCATCTCGTTTTTACCATCGCACCGCCCGTCACCGGAGTAAAGTTCATTCATACTACCTGAAGCCACTGCGGTCATCCACAGTGCGTTTCCAGAGGTCTTTTTTGCCACGTACCATCCGGCTATGGAATGAGCTCCCCTCCACGGTGTTTCCCGAGCGCTATGACATGTCCTTCTTCAAACGAGGCTTGTGGAGAGTATTAAGCGGTAGGCAGCGGCTTGGCTCTGCCCCTGGCATTGCTGAAGTCCATGGGCGACGGTAACCACNGTTTCCAGAGGTCTTTTTTGCCACGTACCATCCGGCTATGGAATGAGCTCCCCTCCACGGTGTTTCCCGAGCGCTATGACATGTCCTTCTTCAAACGAGGCTTGTGGAGAGTATTAAGCGGTAGGCAGCGGCTTGGCTCTGCCCCTGGCATTGCTGAAGTCCATGGGCGACGGTAACCACTCACCATCAGATGGGCCGTGCGCTCGTCTGCCTACAAGGGCAATAAAAAAAAAATAAAAAAAAGATGAGCCCAACGCTCCTTGACGCAACGCATTCACCAAATCATAGTGCCTTTCGATAGCAGTGTGAAAATTTAAAAGTATTAAGATATCGAGTGATTCAGATGTGGCATTGTATAAACATGGGTGTTTCCTAACTATTTCTATCTATCCTATTCGCCGCCTATCCGCGGCGTCAGTTTAGCGCTCCGACGCGCGCTAATTACGCGTTCTGTTTGACGAAGCCTTAAAGCCATAACGATAATTTAATTACACTAAACAAAGCATTCCGAGTGAGCACATCGATAATCGTATAGAACGAATTGGATGGTTTCCAAAATACGAAACATCGACCGCGATTTGTCTTACAACCGTTCGTTACCGATGCCAAATAGTGTTGGCGTAGTTCATCCTGAATCGAGTGGAGGGTCTTATTAAAATAGTCACTTAAAAATCTCCATAAAGTCTCTAAGACCGGTTGTCGATCTTCTTTTTAATTTGTTCAATTCTGTCACTCACATTCCGGGTTAAGCGATCATAGAAAATGCCCATGGACGCCATAAATACTGTTGCTTACATACTTTTACACATATATATATTCACGTCATCACGGATCCTCCTGATCCATTAACGGTGCTTTTAGGCACTACAAGCACCGGTCACCGTCCTCGTCGAACCCGTCGCTCGCGACGAAGGGCTCGACGAGCGAATTAACCCACAGACACAGCCTACTGAGTTTCTCGCCGGATCTTCTCAGTGGGTTGCGTTTCCGATCCGGTGGTAGATTCTGCGAAGCACTGCTCTTGCTAGGGTCAGTGTTAGCAACCGGTTAGAGCCCCGTGAGCTCACCTACACACGCTAGGGTAAGCTGACATAGCCTCTCAAGGATATCAGCATAGGTAGGGGAAAAAAAAACGGTCATTACTTTGGAAACTAAACGAAACGCAGGGATTCCCGAGAGATGGCAGCACGATTGCGGTACCGTCGAAACTCGGCTAACTTCGTGCTACGACAGATCCTAGCCGATGGGAGCGCGTAGACGCCATCACACTAACCAACCAACCTTCTTGAAGAGCGGTGCCTCCGTTCTAAGAACTGTCATTCGTTTTCGTCTGCTAACGTTAACAGAAGATTTCTAAATTGTTCTAAGACAACAAACATGATCTTAGCTCGATCGTCTTATTCGCCCCTATGATGTCTGACGATGGTGTTACTAATGTGGTTTCTCCGACGTATATATAATTGATCGCAAACCAAAAATCTTGACGGCGGTGATCTCAAAAAGTTGGCGATGGCGAATCATTTTTCAATTACTTCTATTTCTCAACAGGATATATGACATTCGCCATTTTAATATTAGTTGAACGCTCATTTTAGATATAAACGAATCTAAATATGTTCACGTAGAAATTAGTCTCGTAGTTTAGTAAAAATCAAATCTTCATCATCGTCATTATTAGACGATGTTCACTGCTGGACATAAGCTTCCCCCGAGGCTCGCCACAATGACCGGTCGTAGGCAGCTCGCCTCCAGCTGATTCCGCCGACGATTAAGACAACCCTCCCAACGTAACTCACAGACATGTAATCAGATGCACTAAGCTTATTTGGTGTGATCATTGGTAAAGCTGGAGCATGCAGGGGTACATTCCACTGTTGTATTTTGGCCCGGAGAGTGGATGTGTCTTGGTTTGAAGAGTGCGACATTCCTCCAATGTAACCTTCAACGTCATGACTCATGGGTGGGACATCGACGGTATCCTTTAACTATGTATAATAAAACCCCCAAACACCAGATGAATAGTTAAGTTCCTTTATGTATATAGTGCAACAAAAAATATCCTAAAACTAATTCGACATCCCTAATATTAACGGCGCACGAGGGTGTGTTTTCATATCAATTTTTTTCTATTTCACAATCACCCCAGTCACGCGATCGTTCGTCGATGAGGCGTTTTGAGGTCGTATACCAATCAGTAAAATAATGTCTTATTATAATTGTTAAATAGTGAAATTAGGTTTTTTTTTAGGGTTGTATCTAACGTACAATTTTATATTTTGGATTTCACATTATAAGTTGTTGCACAGGCGCGGGGCCACCCACGCAATTTGAAGTATTTTTGTCGCAAAAAGGGTAACGCGGCCTTGTTCATTACGTATGATTGCTTCGGAAATAGATGGTCACCGGTGATCACAAATGATAACACAAAGTTTGATTTTTATTACATAAACCTTCACCGCGGAAGTCAATCGTGAACATTGGTTAAGTTTTTTTTTTTTTTTGCTAGATGAATGGACGAGCTCACAGCCCACCTGGTGTTAAGTGGTTACTGGAGCCCATAGACATTTACGACGTAAATGCGCCACCCACCTTGAGATATAAGTTCTAAGGTCTCTAGTATAGTTACAGCGGCTGCCCCACCCTTCAAACCGAAACGCATTACTGCTTCACGGCAGAAATAGGCAGGGGGTTGTACCCAACCGCGCGGACTCACAAGAGGTCCTACCACCAGTAAGTTTTTTAATTTCATTTTTATTTCATTAGAAAAATTGGTACCCGCCTGCGGGATTCGAACATCATTGCATCACTAGATACGAATGCATCGGACGTCTTATCCTTTAGGCCACGACGACTTATAACTTTGATATCAATAAATAACAGTGGCAACCCTAACGTTACACTGTTCAGCGAAATACAATTATAATTGTTCAAAACGGCATTCGTATATTCAGCGCGGAGTGCAGAGAAACACAATTAATATTACGAGTTAATTGGATAGATTCTATCTGCGCGGGGCGTGCTCGCGTCTAATTCGTTTCGGGGTGACTTATAATCGGCCGGTTCCGCTTTCCGTTTAATTTATACACGTGTTCAAAGGTGAATCTATTTCTTGTCCAGATTATTCGCTTGTAACATTCATGGAGATATATTTTATTTTTAAGCAATATTCGAATACTTTCTTGCAATATACGGCCCGGCCATTAGACCGTTATTAGTGTTGGAAGCAATTTATAAGTATATCTCAGAGATGACTTATTTAAAATAAAATTAATAAAAAAGGCCGGTAAATAGCTAAGCAGGCTCATTCGTGATTACTCACTTTATTACCTCTAACCTTTAATTAATGTCAAGGATTTTATATTTATTTACAGAATCTGATTCTAAGCAGTGGGATATAGTACGCTAGGATTTTATATTTATTTACAGAATCTGATTCTAAGCAGTAGATAAGTGCCACTATATAAGAACTTTTTCTTATTCATAGTAATTTAAGTGAAGAAATTTGTTGTTAAAAAATAAAAGAATGTACCAAAATTACAAGCCTGGCTTAACTACGTTTTATTAA